CAGAATGAGGATAGGACACTCTGGGAGGCCGTTGGAACCTATGTTGAAATGAGTCCATTCATATCTGCTAACAAAATCAAGAAGCCTATCTTGCTAATCCATGGGGAAGAAGACAACAATTCGGGAACACTGACAATGCAGGTCGGCATATTATCTTTCGCCTCTATATTGACAAAAGCAATAACGGGCCGGCATTTGGTCTCGGTCATCAACTTTCTTTGTATAATATTACCTATTATCAACTCACACCTCTCTTGCTACACTTTTTACTCTCTCCGCAAAATGCAGTCGGATCGTTTTTTCAATGCACTGAAAGGTCATGGTGCCCTTTGTCGGCTTGTGGTTCTTCCATTCGAAAGCCATAGCTATTCAGCTCGGGAGAGCGTTATGCATGTCCTATGGGAAACCGACAGGTGGCTGCAAAAATACTGCATTTCTAATTCATCTGATACCAGTGAAGATCCTAAGGCACGTGAAGAGAATGCGAGCTTATTGGGTGTTGAGAGTAAAGCCGTTGGTGCAGGTGGAGGGGTAGCGGAGGATTGCACGGACCAGGAAAATGATAAAATCCACACGATACACAGATCCTCATTGTGGTGAACATTAGATCCTCTTCTCTTTGTTTTTAGTTTCTCATGTCTTTTATTTTTATTTAATTTTTTTTATCCAGATTGCTATTGATCTTTTGAAGCTGGCAAGTGGATCAAATGTACTACAAATGTACATGTGAGATGCTGTGAATCTTGGATTTAACACAATGCATTGGCCTTGACTCTACTAGTCTTGTGCAGAAATGATCTGGCTGATAAACTGTGTCTATGCGCAGGATTTTACTTTTGATTCATTCGACACATCTATTGCACTGTTTCAAATTTAGTAGAGTGACAAAATAAGAGTAAATAACATGTACTGATGTAATACTGCCTAATGTATTGTGCTATTGTGAAACTCATGAGTGTCTACTCGTCTCTCTCAATATTAGCAGCTCGAGAGTCGCATATCTCTACTATATCAGCATTTGAAGTTTTCGTTGAAAGAGATGACACTTTCAAGAGATTTGTATTTACCTAGCAAATTATTCATTTTTTTGGGAGATCGGTTATGTCTGTACGTAAACTTATATTTTCTCCTATTTTTTTCCCCTTTTTGGTTTCATATTATAATTGATGATGTATTATAAATCCAGTCCAGATGCAGGAACTTACTATAAGTTGCTCAGACCAAGTGTGTATTTGAAGGCCGTCTCATCGTTTTTCATTTATTCTATGTTTTTTAAACAGAAATGTCTTTAACACATTGCATTTGTTGCCAGTCTTACAAATACAAAACTTGAAAATACTAAACAGGACGATAAGCTATATAGAAATGTATTCATCTACCTGTATGCTGTCTAATATATCCCTATGGTCACTTGTAACAACAAAGAATGGCAGCCGTCAAGGCAGTGTGGTGCTCAACCTGATTGGTGCTTTTTCGCTCGGCCTTGGGACAAAGGTTGATCGTCTCTCTCTGGGCTTGCGGGCCCACGAGGGCGCTTGGTCGGGACCATAACGGTAGTCATAGAAAAGCTCCTCACCAGATTCGATACTATATGCCGACAAGGTGATCACCAGCCACCAACATAACCTGTAATAAGAATCCTTTATAACAGACTAAAAATAACTTTTTGTTAAATACAAAAAGGTGTAATTGAAGAAAATCAACAAGTGATGGGCACCTTTGCGTAACAGTTTGGAATTGATGAGTGGTTTGCGAATTTCAGCTCGTCTCCTTTGCGGTACGCATCAAGGACATACTGAAACCAAAACAAAAATACTGTGACAACATTTTCTACACAGAAAGGGGCCCAAGATAAATTACTTGCCTTGTCGTTCAAGTCAAAGAGGAATGAGGAATTAGCATGATTGTATATTTTCCCCCGCTTATCGGCTTCTCGATGGGAGATTAATTCACCAGTATATTCTCCAAGGTACTCATTTTTGTTGACAGTATTCTTGAAATTAGAGTTACCCAATTTTTCAATCACATGTCCATACGATTGTGACAATTGACAAAAGAAAAAATAATTATAATCATAATAAAAATATTATTCTGTACCTTAAGAAATGCTCCCCAACCAGCAACATCTGACTTTGCCAAGAGAATCTATTCAAAGGAAAAACACATTAATATTTCTAAGAATGTTTTGGAAGAAAAAGATAATACATTAGAACAACAAAAAGCATGTGATACCCTTTGCTGTCGTCTGAGAAGAAGCTTCATGTTACCACATTGACTGTCTCCTCTTCTTGGTGGCTCTCCTAATGATCCATCGCCACAGCTGCAATAAATTGGATTACATAAGTTGATATATAAAACTAAATGCATCAAAATTTCTCTCCAAGTAGTTTAACTGGTTTTTATATTTTTTCTACTACATGCAAACAATAGACAGCATATGCCAAACACCCTTTCTTTTCTTGTGTGTGTGTGTGTGTGACTGTGTGCTTGCCAATTGAAGTTAAAAATGGGGGCAAAAAGTGGGGGAAAAGAAAAGCTACAGAAATTGGTGTAATCTGTAAACTTGAAAAATTCGGTACCTAACCCAACAATTTCGGCAAACATCAGGGTCGCATTCACGGCCAGCTGCAAAACAAGGGCATTGCCGGCTTTTGCATTGGCTTTTAGCACAATGGCATCCTCTGAACCGATTCTTGCAGCTCTTTGAGCAACTGAAAATAGGCTACAATGATCACACAATATCTATGGTTTTCAGTTCACTTCTTACAGTACTTAAGCTATTAAAGTTATAGTCCCACTTCACGGAACTTGCTAAAAGCAACTTGCTTTAGTTCCCATTTTCAACAAATACATCCCTTTTCTCTATTAAAGATAAAGAAAAAGGGGCCTTTAGTTTGTTCTTTTCATTTTTTTTTATTTTTTTTGGGTTCTTTTATCAGAAATGAAAACCTCAGATAAGCATATACTATTCATAAAGATCACAGATAAAATGTACCCGCAGTATTTTTCGCAGCAACTTCCTATTTGTAGACAAGGGCAGTCCTTTCCAAATAGAGGCTGGCACCCACATGGAGCATATAGCTTACAAGGAAGATCTTCACCATCTGCAGTCCTTCTCCACAGGGATGGATGCCCAGCAGACTTCCACGAAGATTTAACCTTACGCGCTCTGCCCCTTTTACGGCATATTCTCGACTTGACAGGAAAATCTAGCTCCTGATATATACGAGAAGCAAAATTAATTAGCTATGGTGATGCTGGTTTCAAGACAATAATAACATTTCTAGAAATCATTCTATGAGGAAAATCTCATGAATGGAAAAATGATTTAGCCGAGAAATGCCTACTATCATCATGTCAAACAGAGCTATTATTACCAAGTAAATTCAATATACGTGCACAATAGCACAGTTGTTTGTCAGTTCAAAAATTAAGCATAGACTACAGACCATATGATCCATGTGAGCATTCCAAACATCTTCAAAGTATGAGAGCATAGCCGAGGATTCACGAGACATCACAGCTCCATCACCATACATAAAAGTGGACACTTCCTTGCAAGTTTTAAGACCAGGAAGTAAATTCCTAGCTATATAGCAGCTGTTTTAAATATACATCAATAAGCTCTCCATGATTAAGGACAGCCAAAAGCAGTTGTAACTAAATATATAATAATAGGAAAACCCCACAATGGTATATTAGCCAAAACAGTCTTGTATTGAGTATTCAACTTACTTGATCACTGCCCCCATTGTTCTACTTCTATCGCAAACCTGACTATGCATTACCATAAGGCACTTTCAGCTAATTGAACTTACTATTTTCAGTTAGAAATAACCAACTTTTCCATATATGATTCATGCAATAGTTTTATGAGAAACTGAAAGGTTAAATTACAAATCAGGATTGATGCTGCTAGTTTCCGCACATTAATGCTCATTAGACATTCTTTGAATGCGAACAAAGACCAAAATGAAATAGTTGGAGCGTAATGGACAATGAAAATCGAGATTCCCATACCTATTTCTTCCAAATATCTCTAATCCCTTCAAGTACAAGTCTCTTTCAAAAGGTTTCCATCCATGCACTAATTTAACTGATTTTCCAATGGATTCGGATGCCTGCTTCGAAGGGAATCCAGAGATATCTTCCCCTTTATCTTGGACATAATCCCTGACCTTATCACCAGTTACATTGTGAAAAGAAAAAAAAAAACCATCTAAAATTGTGAGAAAATGGGAACCGGGTGCTGACCTCTTGAGTTCATATTCATGGGTCCACCTGATTCAGGAAACTGAACCTCTAAAGTTGCACTATTATCCAGCCGATTCATGTCATCCAGCTCTAGTTTCTTATTGGCAGAACTTTGAAAGTTGTCACGAACCAATTTAGTTGGTACAGCTAACGAATCTGTAGGTTCACGTATTACAGGCCTTCCTTTGCTTTCCATAAAATGTGCTACATGACAAGAAATATGATTTTCAAGATATTAAAAAGTAGAAAGTGCCTTAAAACAATTACAGTAATTCACATCTAATTTTCACCTTCCTTGTCAGATGCTTTATGCTCATCCACGGAATCTATACATGAATTCTTCGGCAAATCTTTAGAGTATGCATCTAAATGGGAACAAGATGAAATGTACACAAAGGACAAAGTTAATATACAATTAGGGTAGATCCTGCAACTAGTAACTGAACCATGATCTCACACATCACTTTTGACAATCAATATCACTCACATAATGTGCACAAAGAATAGACTTCGCAAATCACATTTGAATGAAAATATGATAACAATGTTCAGGCTTCTTAGTTTCTGGCAGTAAATTGAAATGCTAATTAAAAGCAAGATTCATTCAAGCGCTTGAAAGAAAAAGCAAACAAATATTCGCCTAGTTCTCCATAAAATTTCATTAACATTAAGATTCTTGAATTTCTTTACCTGAAGGTAACATTGATCACCATAAGGTTCACGGTTATCTTTGTGATCAAATAGGTATGGTTGCTTTTCTTTCTGTCAACCAGTGATTGTGTGAATCCAACATATATATACATAGAAAGAATTTAAGCAGCCATTTTCCTCACCGGGTAAATTATATTTTGAGAACAACCATGCAAACGGCAGTCGAATACCTGTTAATATAGGGAGGTCAGTTCCAAAGGGTCAACAATGATGGCGAATAGAACTTCATAAGCTGATTGAAATAGAATTATCTTTCAAAACTAGACGCATTTTCACTATCATATGATTAAGTTTGTCATTTAATATGCATGGAATTGTAAATGGAAGTAAGGGACGAAAGAAAGAAGCACCAAAAGAAGCTTCTTGACACCAGCATAGTTAAAACAGAATGGATCTCACAAGCCAAGACTACGCACCAGACAGCGTCGACAAAATAGATTGTCAAAAGAATCTAAAGCCGCATCCAGGCCTTTTTCCAGGAAAAAATTGTCTACAAACCCCTCTTCCCTCATACTTTTAGAGATCTTATTTTCTACAGATGGATCTTTTTCCATGAGAATTTCGCAATGTTCCTGCATACCATGCAAATGAACACAACTGAATAATCGAAGGAGATGAGTGCAAGCATGAAGGAAAAAACTATTAACCTAAGTCAAGCTCTGTTCTCCTCATAAAAGAAGAAACAAATCTAAATAAAGCCACCTGATAATTATTATTTATGTTACAAATTTATGTAGTGTCAGCAAAAAGAATTTTACTTGGATTTCCTGAGACGTTCCTCCAACAAAGTGGGTCAACGTATCAAAAACTTCATTAGCAGCCCCAAACTCCTGGACAGCCACCCTAGAAAATGACAATATACGTAAGAAACATCCGAAATCTATCAGTTCAGGATATTCAATGTTGTAGAAAAACAATATAATTATGGTATACATATCTGCATGACTAAGAGCATATTCACCATAGTTATATGTAAGGTATCTTCTACTGCCACTAAGGCAGTATAAAAAATTAGAAGAGTCAAGGAAGTAGGATAACAATAAGTGTGAATACCCAAATCAGATTTTCTGGAAGCAATACAGACATTACAAACGAACCTCATCACACGATCTTCTCCCTCAGAAAATTCACGTTTCTCCTTCTCCACTTGTACAAGCTCTTCTTCACTGTCACTACAAATGAGAGCCTCATTACCATGTGAATCATAGTAAATCCGTCTACGCCCCACAACCGACTGATCATCAGCCATTCTCTGGTTTCTGTGCTATGCCAAGGAAAATTGATTAAATAATAATAAAATAACAATAAATTGCATATATATACACATATAAAAGGCATATAGCTGAGCAGCTAAATGGAGTCCCTGACAACGAAGCGCAGCTTGAGTGGTAAGACGCTTCACCTATGACCTATAGGTCATGGGTTTGAGTCACCAAGGAGGGGAAGTGGGAACACTATTGATCCTCCTCTAGAAAAAGAAAAAAAAAATATGCAGTCCCTAGGGAGTTAGATATAGTGCCTGTGGATCAGGATTTATTTCCTGGTCAAGTGTGTATAAGGTCATGCCAAGTTTAAAAGAACTGTAAAGGAAAAACCATCCATGTATTCATCTTATGATAAGGAATGATCATTCCACCCGTCTTTCTTATAGAAACACTTGATTCAATGAAGATCAATTTCTGCACCTAAATTGAATATACAAGTAAAATCACTGTAACCTCTCTTTTCAACCTGACAATCGAAAGTTCATTCTCAGTGAAAAAAGACTGCCCGAGTTACCTATGTTATGATCCTTTACCTATCTAAGAATATCCAAGTAGTATAGGAAGGTATTCTCTCAATAAGCGGAAGTCTGGCAGTTGTAGAGAACGTAACTTCTTGACTATCAGCATCATCTCGGTTCACAGATCCTTGCATAAGCCCCTGAATTTTGCAGAGAGGATAGTTCATTCTCAGGGAAAGGAGATTGGCTGAATCACTATTACTCCCTGGGACAGCACAATCACTCCTTGATGCAGCCAATTCTTTGAGGTGAGAAAGATAAGCTCCAGCCTTCTTTCTATTTCTCTCAAGTTTTTCCTGGGAACAAACAGTATAAACCAAAAAACATATTTGATCTAAGAAACGACAGCAAGATCAAGCGAAACAAGTTTCCAAAACATGTGTACAGAACAAGTCACCAGCGGAAATTCCTTGAACATTCAAATTTCATGCAGGATTTAAACCATCACCGTAATCACGCACCAATATTTTAGTTCCACCCGCAAGCACAAGCACAACTTATCAAAAAGCTACATTTGTATGATATTAATTTGGCTTGTTGATCCATAATAATAAGAAGGTGATATTTGTGTTCAGTGAAAAACCAAGATCAATTATCTATATTACTTTCCACAGCCTTCAAACTGAAACCCTAAGCACGAGAAGACTATAACATTCCTCAAAAGTGAAAATACACCGATATGTCAGAAAAAGAAACAGAAGCTGGTGAAAATTACTCCAACTGAAACGACTCTTTCCGAGTGAATTTGCCTTTTCAGCTGTGTAAGTTTAACGCTCAAGTTTGACATGGCATCACTTCCCATTTCCCCATGAGACTTCTGTCAGCCAGGTAAATTAGGAATCATTAGTTCATCATCTATTCTTTGACAAGATAGACGAATAGCACGAAACTCAAAACACTCAAAACAATTTCAGTAAATCTGAAATCATTTGCATACAAGATAACTACAGCCTATGAGTTTAACATCACAAATGAAGTATATCGGTCCAGACCATAACAAGTACAAGTCAAACAAACAAGCAAACACAACAAAAATCTCTTTCATCTGCACTCAAACCCAGAGAACATCAAAGAAAGATACAAATGCATCAGCTCTTACCTTCATAAAAAAAGTACATAAAATAATTTTAAAAAAAATACGAACGTATCATCTTTCTCACCAACTCAGAAGAGCTCACTTCCATAATTGACTCTGCAGGTCATCTATTCAAGACCAGATTAGATTAACAACGAAATCAGCGAGCTCAAGAGCTCATCCGTACGACGCACCAGCTCAATTTTGAGGACAAATTCAACAACATACAAAAAAATCCATACGAGTATCATCAAATTTTCGAAGAGGTGATCAAAATATTTGGCTCAAAAAAATCGCAGAAAACAATCCACAACAAAATCAAGCATCGGAAAAAATAACAAAGAGCTACATGGAGTGAAGAAAACGCACTCTGAATTTAGATTTCGACACCATCGTTTTTATTTCTCTTAAGAGAATAATTTTCAGTGTGTGAAACAGGGAGTGAGGGAGATGAAAAATACAAGGAGAATAGAGTTCGACGTGGAGGGAAGCTGAGGTGGCGGGGATAAATCGTCTGGAGGTGGCGCATAGGTCCAAATTGATTTGGATAACATTAAAACCTTTTACATGCTCACTCTTTTAAAAATAAAAATAAAATATATTATACATGAATTATATGTGAATGAGTTATGTATTAAAACTTAATATCATTTAGGATATAGATATAAAAATAAATTATAAAGCATTTGTATTAATGAAAGATGGTATATTTAATATTAAGAAATATTTTGTATGTAAAAGTAAAAGAATTTATACGTGAACAGTGTAATTTAACTTAAAAAATAATTTAATTTAAGATTAATATAGAACTAGACTATTAATTAATTATTTATAAATTGTAAAATTAGTATATTTAAATTTTAAAAAACACTTCATAAATGTAAAAACTAAAAGAAAATTATAGATAAGTTTTTGAATAATTAACATCACATCTCACAACAATATATTTAATACTGATGGCCTCAGCCCAAGCCCAAGCGATTAGGCCCCCAAACAAATGAACAATAAACTTTACTCGTTTTTAACGTACGAACTCAATTCATCAGTTCTACTCCGGCGTTGAGCTTTTGTGCACCACAACAATCATTTGAACATCTTCTTTTCAACTTCACATATTTATTTATTTCATCTATTTTCTTCTATTAACACATATATTTATAATATAATTTTTAATAATTGCCCAACGTTTATCTATAAACTAGAATTCGATCATGTGCATTTACACAGATGTAAATAAAATATTATAAGCTATTTGTATTCATATAATATTAAAATTATAAATTAAATAATGATATTAAATTCTAAAAATAGAGTATTATAAGTTACATTTATGCATAGAATATTAAAATTATAAGTTAGATAATGGTATTATGTTTTAAAATTTGATCATTGATTAAAATAAATTGTACATTTATATTTATGTAACTTTCATAGATCATTTAGTATAAAATATAATTAAATAATAAATATTATATGATACAATAAAAAATACAATTATTACTCAATTAATATAAAATATAACGATTTTTGTCTTAATTAACTCAAAAAAGTGCAAGAAAATATTTTATCATTAATGGGATAAACTGAAATAATGTAGTAATAACAACAACAACAACAACAACAATAATAATAATAATAACAAAAAAAGGGAAACAACAAATAGATTTATTAATTTTTTTGTTTGTAATTATATATGTGTGTGACCGTGAGAACCATATATTTGATGCTATTTTTAATATTGCATGGTGTTATCATTTTCACAAATGCTAATAAAAATTTTATTGCTATTTTTAATATTGCATGGTGTTACCATTTTCCCAAATGCTAATAAAAATTTTATTGCTATTTTTAATCAAATACATCCTAGTTAAAAATAGCACCAAAACACAATCAATTATAGCACTACATACAATTAAAAATAGCGATTCTCACGGTTCTCACGCTAAGACTTGGTTCTCATTTGAACCACATCATGTGTGTGTATATATATATAGATGATAAATGTGAATTGTAACGGTTTTCGGCGGAAATATTATAGAAGTTTTATTAAATGCACTGTCGGCCATCATAGAATATATATATATATATATATATATATAATTACTACCCAATCCCATTTAATAAAACATTTAATAAAAATATTTTCACTTTCCCTCCAAAAGGAGTTACATGTTTTTTAATTAATTACTCACTAATCCCACATTTAAGAAGGTTTCTTTTAGTTAAACCTAATTAGTTAATGGCTAAATTAAAAAAGTTTCTTTTAGTTAATCCCATATTTATGTTTCTTATTCTCATTTATATATATAAACGTGGCAGTCATTATTGTTGTGCAGAAACTATATATTATTATTTTTTTATTCCATTATGAATTGAATAAGCAATTAAAATTATAAAAAATATTAATAAATGTATTAAATACAAACATTATAATACAGATCATGTTACATTACAATATAAAAAATGAAATTATTTTTGGTAATTTAATTTTCAGCCATACTCCATCAAACATATAGCTGCAAAATGATAAGAAAGATTAGTTTCATAATTAAAATTAAAAATTTAGCTCCCCCAAATGGTAAAACCTTATAAATTAGTAGTATAGATACATTTAAATGACATATAATTTATAAACTTAGACTATACGCATAATAAGATGAATTAAAAAAAATTAATGAATTTAATAAATAAATTATTATTATAGCACAGTCTATATAAATTATTATAGCAAAGTCTATATTGTCAATATTATCATTTAAAAAAGTTCAAATTGAAAAAACATATGTATAAAAATAAATCCATATGATCATAATTAATAGTGCAAAATTAACTATCTTTGACTTTCCATTTGGTAGTAATAATAAAATATTTTATATTACTACTATTCAATAAAATACATGATTTCTGCAGATTTGATTATCACAATCAACATTCTGTTTTATAAAAAAAGTGTGCTGAATAAATTGTCTCATATTTTTCATTAAAAATAAAAACTGTTGGCCGTGAAAAAAAAAATATTATTTGACAATTATAAATAGAAATATGATTAATTTTTATTAAACAATTCCTCTTTAAGAAAAAAGTGGCAGAACAAATTTCCGCATGATTATAGCATCAAAACATATCCACAACATCAATATTTTAATGCATTAAAAACCATACTTTTAGCAACAGAAAAGTCATACGAAACAGACGAGAAATGCTATGGAGCCAACCATTGGCTCCATAGTATTTCTCTGAAACAGAAATTGGCAAAGTCAGAATGAGAATTGACAAAGCATTGTATGTAATGACAGATTGTTGCATAATATAGAAATATCAAGCATAATTAATAATCAACAAAAAAAGTCAAATCTATATGAAAAAATCAAAATTAAAAACACAACAAATTATGTGGAACATTATTGAATACTATACAATATAGAAAGAAAGATAATTTGATTTCCCTATCATTATCAACACATTCAACTTTTACCATGACATCTACCTTTATATTAAAATCGATTTTTTGCGTAAAAGTTTTAAAAATAAAAATTCCTACAGATTCTTTTAACCATTAAACAAGAAATTCCTAATATGCGATAAATATATCTAAACAGATTTGTTATAAATTTACCTAATATTTCTAAATTTTGAAAAAAATACTAGAAACTTTGGCAAAAGACTTTGAACAAGTTCGAAAAGCGATTTTGAACAAATGTTAGAAAAGCTTCACTTACTGATATGATGAGAAAGACGAGAAAGAATTGAACTATTTAGTGTTCAAAATCTAAACAAAATACATAAAAGTTATATATGTATGTTATAAACATATATGAACAGATATATTATAAACTTACCTATATATTTGTTAGTAAAGCTGAACAGATCTGTTAGAAAATTACCTATTTTTTCAAACCCTGAACAAAATACATAAAAGTTTGAAAAAGTTCGACCAATGTCATGTTCTCTTCGAAAAACGATTTCGAAAAACATCTAAATAATTTTGAATTATGTATAAAATATGATATATCTTTGAAGCTTATGCACAAAGAATTTCGAAAAACGACACAGATCATTGAAAATAATAAAAAATAAAAACTATGTTTAACAAAAAATATTTCAGCTCTTCATAGATTTGTAAAATTATCGCCCTATTTTGACCGACCTGTTAAGATTTAGCAACACAGATTAAGAAATCGGGACGAATATTTATTTTTCGATCACTACTGTTGGCCACAAAAACAACATTTCTCGGATATTTTTTTAATTTTTTAAGCCTTTACCGAGAGAAAATCTCCAGTAAAACATTTGTTTTGTACTGAATTTCGCCGAGTTTGTCGTAAGATCGGGTTAAGGATTAGGGTTTCAGACAGAGTGAATAACGAGAAAAGCGCCGACATCAAACAAAAAAAAATGGCTTACATCACTCTCAAGGAGTTTATCTCTATTTATAATCATGTTATCATTGACCTGTTTTAGATTTTATTTTGGCTACCCTAAAAAATTAAGTGGACTTCTAATTTAGGTTTTTTTTATCATTCAATCAATATATTTCTTTATTGCCCAAAACTTGCCATTTTGTTCAAATGTCTTAAATATTTGGCACATATCATTATTTATCAACCAAATACAATTATTTATTTTGTAATATTTTGCTGGTATTTTTTTTGTATTTTTTTTAATTTCCTATATGATCTATAGTACAAAATACAATAATTATTTTAAAAAATAAAACCATTATATGTCTTAATTTGAATTTAGTGATTTGTAGTGATGGAGATTCTATTGATAGAAAAACCACAAACGTTGTATATAAAGAATTGTTTAACAATATTTAGTTATTCTTTCTTAGGACATTTTTCCAATGATTATATTATGATTTTTACTATTGCTTATATCTTTTTGTTATATTTTGTTCTATTATATAGCTTTCCGTACAAATGCACGGGTTAAAAACTTGTTTATTTTATAATGCCATTTTGAAATCCAATATTCTAAAAGACACTTAAAATATTATTTTTAAAAACAAAACTTATATTTATAACCTTTTTTGCCATCGTCACAACCAAATTGAAACCGAACATTAACGTGCATTTCAATTTTAATCTTTTTTTAATAATGTGTATTTTAATTAAAATTACTGTGCACTTATCAAATTATTTATGTAATAACAATATATTTAGTGTTTATAATTTTTGTATTTAGTATTTTATATTATTAATCTAATTAACATGACCGTGCATTTGTTATGCTAAGGTGCAATTTCGCTAACACAAAAGTGCAACCCGTCAGTCAATAATGTGCAACATGTTCAATAATATATTAATATTTTATCTTATTTGTATTTAATATTTTTTTATTATTTTATATTTTTAAAAGATATATAAAAATAGTATACTTTTATATACTTTTTGTAAATTACAAATTTGACACAAATGTTAAATTGAAATATAAATAAATTTATTAAATTTACAATATTAGATTTACAAATTTATGAAAACTACAAATTCAACCCATAAACTAAATTATAATATATTGAAATTTATGAAAATTACAATCCAGCCCCTATAAGATATCAAATTCTCAAAATCAACCCCCAATTTCAATCTCAAATCATGTTCTCCCCGTCACCTTATCCCCCTGTACTTGCCGCCGGTGACCTCTTCTCCGATGGTGGACGACGGACGAACGACGATCGCGACGGGAAGGAATGACGACCATGATGGTGAAGGTGGCAGGCCGGAGGCGTCTTCACCCTCTACACTTGCAGACGGCGAAGCTCTGCGGCGGAGAAAGTGACAGAGACGTCACGGTCAGTTCCCGACGGAGGGAGGACGACGACGGCTAGAGCTCCGGCGCCGGACCAGACGGCGGCGTTTGGAGTGACAGTCGGCGGCGTCGAGCAGAACGGCGACAGACAGATTGAACTCGACGGCGATGGAGGTCGACCTGTGGGATGGTGGTATCGCGGTCGTCCTGTTCGTGCGTGTCTAACAGCGGGCTCTGGCGGCGGCATTTCAGCGTGCTCCGGTGGCGTCGTTTCAGCGTGCTTCCACGGTGGCGTTACAGGATCCGGCGACCGCCGTTACAGTTGGCTCCAGCGACCGGCTGTGGCGTGCTGCGGCGGCGATGGCTGGGCAGGGCGGCGGCCGACGATGACTGGTAATATGTGTGTGTATGTGTGTAGTGTGTGTGTGTGTCGTGTATATACTGTGTGTGTACTGTTTGTGTGTCGTGTATATAAATTGTGTGTACGTGTCTGCTGAAGTGTGTGTGCGTGTGTTGTGTGTTGTGTGGCGTGTGTTTTATGTGTGCGTGGCGTGTGTTTTATGCGTGTGGTGATGATGTGTCATGGGCCCACTAATGAGTTGGATAAGTGGATGGTATTGGTAATGTCTAAAATACCCTTAATGAATGTAATATTTTGTCTTTTTTTAGCCATTAGATCATACGATCGAATGACTATGATTTATTCTTATTTATTTCACTGAGAACTATTCTCACCGGAGCGCGACCACATATATATATAGGGAGCGGATCAAATGAGGACAACTCTTAAAATGAGGATAGCTCCTTGCAACTATAGACAACTAACCTTGCAACTACAGACAACTAACCTTGCAACTAGAGAAAACTAACATTGCAACTAGACAGAACTAACCTTGCAACTAAAGACAACTAACCTTGCAACTACAAACAACTAACCTTGCAAACTGAATACAACTAAACACTGCAAATAAAAACAACTAACCCTGCAACAAGATAGAACTAATTTTACAACTACAGACAACTACCCTTGCAACTAGAGAAAACTAACATTGCAACTAGACAGAACTAACCTTGCAACTACAGATAACTAACATTGCAACCAAAGACAACTAACCTTGCAACCAAAGACAACTAACCTTGCAACTAAAGACAACTAACCTTGCAACTACAAACAACTAACCTTGCAAACTGAATACAACTAAACACTGCAAATAAAAACAACTAACCCTGCAACAAGATAGAACTAATTTTACAACTACAGACAACTACCCTTGCAACTAGAGAAAACTAACATTGCAACTAGACAGAACTAACCTTGCAACTACAGATAACTAACATTGCAACCAAAGACAACTAACCTTGCAACCAAAGACAACTAACCTTGCAACTAAAGACAACTAACCTTGCAACTACAAACAACTAACCTTGCAAACTGAATACAACTAATCATTGCAAATAAAACAACTAACCATTCAACAAGATAGAACTAACTTTGAAATTAACCCTGTTTCAATAACTTTGCAACATATTTACACTAACTTTACCTCACTATATTTACTTCACACAATACATATTATGGTCAACGGGTCAACGCCGAAAGTCAACGATTTTCATCGGAAGTCAACACCGGAGTCAACGGTCAATGGTCAAAATAATATTAAAATAACTAAAATAATTAAAATAAAAAATTATTATTTAATTAAAAAGTTAAATCTTGGCCACATATCTTGATACCCTTTTTAGTGGCTAGGATTGAGTCTCATGTCCTTATTTTAAGAATGTGTCCTCATTGGAACCAATCCTGGTGTGAGAACCGTGAGAACCATATTTCGTGTTATTTTTAATTGTGTATAATGTTATTTTTAGTCTCACATGGTGCTATCATTTTTACAAATGCTAACATAAATTGTCTTGCTATTTTTAATAAAATACATCCTGATTATAAATAGCACTAAAATACAATCAATCATAGCACTACATACAATTAAAAATAGCGGTTCTCACGGTTCTCACGCTAGGACTTAGTTCTCATTTGAACCAAATCCTATATATATCTCTCTTATCTATATATGAAAATGTGTATGGCCTTTAAATGGCGACAAGTGGCGTTTTGTTTAGGCGACACATGTCATTTTTTCGAATAATTACTTAATTGCCCCTTATTTGACCTAACCAAAGACTTCTTTTTGGGCATAAATTGGTCATTTTTGTGAACATTTCTTTGCCTCTGTTCGCTGCTTTATCTCACAATCCATCATTTCCATTTCCTCTCCCACCAAACCCCACCCGTCGCCATTCTTTTTGCGTGTCCCTTCATTCCAGGCTTTCAGTAGATTTCTTATCATCCGGAGATCGCGCAGAAAATTTGCTTCAAGCTTTCTTTTACTTTTTCTTCTTTCCCGAAATTACTCTAAAAACATTTAATTAGTTAATTTATTAATTTGTTTGTGTGTGTTCATCTTAGACTTTGTTTGCAATAGAGCAAATCATAGAGAACGAGATGAGAACGCAGCAAAACAACAGCCTCTTTGCGAACGAGCACGGTCGTCTTTTGATTCTCTCGCTTGGGACGGGCTCGCCTAAGCGTAAGGAGAAATACTATGAGGCGAAGAAAGCAAGAAAGTGGGGCCCACTCGGGTGGTTGTTCAGCTGCGGCTCAACTCCTCTACTCGACGTGCTTTCTCTGGACTTGACAGATTATCACAATCCTGTTGTGCTTCAGGCACTACATTCTCAAGAAAATTACCTCAGAGTTCATGTAATGTGTTGGAGATTATTACATTTTTCGTTCGTGTGTTTGTTTGATTTTTTTTTATTTTTTATTTTTTTGTACAAGTTTTTGATTTTTTTTTTAAACGAGTATGTGTTTTTTCATGCAGGACGACACGTTGACTGGAGTAGCGTCTTCGTTAGACGTGGCGAGTGAGAAGAATTTGAGTCGACTCGTGAAAGTCGGGGAAAGTTTGCTGAAAAAACCGGTCTCGAGAGTCGATTTGGAGACTGGAGTACTTGTGCCCTCTGGCCAGGGAACAAATGAGGAGGCATTGATTAGGTAAATTGTATGATTCATAACTATTTAAGTTTACAGTAACTATAATTTAAAGTCAACATGTATATGGGGTTGATTGATTGATGGTTCTTTTCTACTGTCTGTTCCAACAGGTTAGCAGGCATACTTTCGAAGGAGAAACGGATTCGAGATGCGAAATCGAGGGATGTTCGTCATGAAGGCGGATGAGGAGATGAAATTTTTGTACATATGTAGTTTTTCCATAATGTTGAGCCTCATGGCATTGAGGTTGATTCATTGGTGTAAATATCCCTGCACATTATTTTTTTTTTTTTTTTTTGTTATGTATATATGAATTCAATTTAGTTTCAACTTTCATGAATGATGGTTTGTTGTTATTCTCTATCATTTTTGCAATTTAATGCTTTTGTATATGCATGAAATGCGACCCTAAGCTCTGAACCAGCATTAGAACTGTACATTGCAGTGTTGCAATGTTTTGCAATGTTCAGTTTTGCAGTTCTTTGTTTTCACATCAGTTTTCTTGAAATTAAAATTGTGCATTGATTTCTTGCATGGACTGTAACAAAGTAATTAAGAGTGAATATATCTCACCTGTGGTCCAATATCTGTAGTATTTACTTTGAGGCTGATATTGAATTCAAAATCAAGAAAACATAAAAACAGAGTAAGTTGGTGTACTGTGTGCACAGATTAATGATGCCCAAGTTTGTGTGTAGCATGAGTTCAAGTCCCTACTTGTTTGGAACTACATAGTGTGTAAAATACAATACCAACAAAATAAATAAAAAATAAAAAAAATAGAAATGAGTGATCAACATTCTCATACTTTCCTATCGATAAAGATGTCTTTTTTATTTAATTTTCTTTTTTCCATTGCAAATGACACACATCCCCACCAAATCCATAAGGAGAATTGTGAAAATCTTGGCATTTTGCCTCTTCAAGAAAAAATATATTAATGTCTCCCCTATGTAAATATGTGCAAAATTGTATACATGCATTGAATAGTCTGTCTTTGGGGATGGTGGGTGGCAGTGGCATGAAAAGGTAAACTTGTTTTTTATTTTTATTTATTTATTTAGTTATTAATTTGTGTGTGTGTGTGTGGATGTGGGGTGTGTGGGGGTCTTTTATATTTATTGAGTGGGATAGTAAAGAGAGAAAGCAACTTGTGGGGGGTTGTGTCATTTACTCTACTTATTATCTCTCTATCCCCTCAATCCCTCTCATCATCAATTGAATGCCTGATATTTGATTCAAACTCTCCTCTTTCTCTCCATAATCTAAAAAGTAATACCTGTTCTTCTGTGACCAAGCTTAGCAGAAATCTTGAAAATTTTGAGGAAAATTAAAGAATCATGCAGGAAACTGATCAGCCTAAATCTTCAGGAGTAGAGACTCATGCATCCAAGAAAAGGTAAAGTCAGTTAAAGATTAGATTTTTACTCTCTCTCTCTCTCAAAGGACAAAACATTACACCAGCAAGTAGAAAGATTTTTCAGTGTTGTTAATTTTACAGGAAGATGGGTGAAAGGGTTGTGGTGACTGTGAAACTGGAAGAAAGTGAAAAAAGGCAGCAGAAAAATGAAGGGCCTCCTTTTGATTGTTGGTCTTGGAGAAAATATGGCCAAAAACCCATCAAAGGATCTCCTTATCCAAGGTTTTGTATTTTCTTTGCATTTTAAACTAAACCAACCCCCTCTAGTTATTCTATTTAACATTTTTCTTACACAAATGGGGTTCTCTTTCAGTTAGCCAGAACTTTTGGGTAGTTTTCGTTAATAAC